GGGGGACCATGTGGGACTATGAGCCATGGCAACAACAGCAGAGGAGCTCCATGGTCTGCTGAAAAGGACACCATATGTGAAGGCAGAAAGTCTGGTCCCAGTCCTGGCTCTATTGAGAATCCACTGTGTGGCCTGGTGAGTGATACGAAAATCTACATAAATACAGAGTTCTGTTTCTTAAGGCCTGTCTATTTCTTGATGGTCTGTCAAAAGATGTTTTTCATCAGTTCTTGTTGTAGGAGATGTAAGACCCAGAATACCAGACCCCTGTCAAAGACACACCCAGGAAGATGTTAAATATTTTCAGATTAAGGTGCTGAACAACTTTGTACAGCTGTCTACACCTGGACCCATTTCCCTGACTTCCTTGGTGATTGACCTTGGTCAATTCCAGCCTTGCTGACACCTGCATTTTTGGTTCGATGCATCTCTAGGTTAATCGTGTTTCCAGTGTCAGCCCTGTTTCCTATAACAAATATTTTTCCACCTCAGTGAGCAGAGGTCTCATCTGGCCTGATCCAGCTTCTGGGGAGGAGCCAGTGAAAAGGCCATCTAAGAAATGTGTTTAAAACCAAAATATTGGAATTCCAGGACATTTTGATTAGTTATATGAAGGAGCAGAGAAGAATATTTGAAATCTGAATTATCCTGGAAAGGCAGGACATGAACAGTGTAACGTCTTTTCAAGTAACATGCAAACTGTTGTTGAAAAAGACGCCAGCCTCTAAAAAGATCACTAACAATCCCAAATGACAGATGATAAATGCTCAATGAATAGTATGGATGACATTAATTCATCACTGTGAGAATGATCAGTGTACGTTTCCAAGGCGGAAGACAGAGCTTAAGCTGTCTCTTCAGGAGTGTGGGGGATTGAGAGAGTGGGAAGGAGGCAAAGCATCCTGGAAATAAGAACACGAGCCATGCTGCAGCAGGCCAGGCACATTCAGGCATGCATGAAATAGGGACCATGTTACAGCACAGACATGGGGATTAGGGGCAAAACATTGATGGACCTGGGCTGCGGAGTTGCTGTGACAGAGAACAGTGAGGAGAGTGATCCTGGAGCACGAAGTGGCAGAAACCCAAAAAGGTAGGTAGGGCTAAATTATGAAAGGTCTTAACTATTAGGCAAAGGAGTCCAGACTTAGTCTAGTAGGTAAGTGGGCGAGGGGCTGTCTCAGAATGACGTGAGCAATTAGAACAAGTGAGTGTGGTATTTTAGGAAGGGAACTCTACTAACAGTGGAGGGGTGGTTTCAGGATGGGATCGCACAGAGTCCACTGCAATCATCTAGATATGAAGAAGCAACAGGTCTTGGAACTGGATCTGAGGTGTAATGCACAAGGAGAAGCTAAAAGTAAGTCCGAGTTTTCTGGGTGGAATGACTGAGAAAATGAGAGTCCACTGCAATCATCTAGATATGAAGAAGCAACAGGTCTTGGAACTGGATCTGAGGTGCAATGCACAAGGAGAAGCTAAAAGTAAGTCCGAGTTTTCTGGGTGGAATGACTGAGAAAATTATGGTATTTCTGACAGAGATGGAGGTCAGGAAGGGAGCTGGTTTTGGAGAAGACAGTGGGTTTAGGCTGACATTGAGGAGGTGGCTGAACACCACAGGGGAGGGACAGAGTAGGTGGAAAGGTGAGCAGGATGAAAGGACACGAGGACAGTGCATGCAGATGTGAAAGTCCATTGTAAAAAAGTAAACATCAAAACGAGCTGCCTTAATAGGACCTCTCAGAGGAAAGAAAGCGGAGAGAAAAGGAAAAGAGGAGTGAGGGAGCACAGTGTGAGGAATGGGGGCAGGAAGGGGTCCGGGGCGACACAGCCAGGGAAGGAGGCAGAGAAGCCTCCGGCACTGTGTCAAGAAAAAGGACAGAGAGATTTCTTCCAGAAGGTGGTCAGAGGGACCAGAGTTCAAGAAAAATAGGAATTTACAGAAGCCATTGGGCTTGATTCATTTAACAAATATAGGCATCTATGTATGCCAGACCCTGTGCTAGGTTCTGGAACATTAGTCAGAAGTTATCCTCATTCGGCAGACATTGACCAGTGCCTGCGATGGTGCCAGGCCCTGAGCGTAGAAGAGGGAGACTGAGGCTGGATTCTTTCCCCTGAGGAGTCTGTGTTTACAAAAGTTTCAGTCCACAATGAGGAAGGAAAGGATGGGGATGAAGGGGGGAGGCGGAGGGGGGAATAGATGAAAAAAAAATGTACAGTTGAGAGCAGACCACTTAAAAAATTTGGCATTCAAAAGAAAGCAAGAACTAGAAAAATAACTTGAGGGGACAGGAAAGTCTTGCAACACTTTCCCCAACCCCCAATCACCTAACGAGTAAGACTTTGATGTTTCTAGGCAAGAGAAAAGGCATTGCTGTAGAGAAAGGACAAAACTTGTCGGGGGAGGTGGGATTATTTTGGAAGCAATTAGAAAGCTCAGTCCCCATTTCCGAAGAGTCCAAAGGAACCCTTTAAAAAACACGGCAAAGCGGTAAAACGGTGACAAAGCTTCCACACAGTGTGTGGCTGGAAAATGCTGTAGGAGTCAGAAAAGGGAACCTCTTGGGAGAGGTGGTATCAGCGAAGGCTTCTTGGAGGAGGTGGCCTTGAACCCAAGCCTTGAAGGACAGGCGGAGAGACGAGGTCGGGGCGTTCCTGGCGTGGAACGGCCTTCTAGACGCCACCTTCCTCCACCGAGAGTCCTTCGAGCCCCACCCCAGCCCTCGCTCTGTCCCCCGCTCCCCCTGGCTCCAGAGCCCGGCGCAGGTTCCCAGCACTGACGTCAGCGGGCGATGACCTCAGCGCCGCGGAGGCGGCGGGGGCGGGGCGTGGCCGTGCGCGGGGCGGGGCTTCCCCAGGCCCGGCCCCCATCCGCTGGCCGCGGCCAATGGGCGCCGCTGCCGGCTCCCCCACCTCCGCGAACACTATGAAAGGCGCGGCTCGGGGAAAGTCCGGGCAGAGCCCGGGCAGAACCCCAGCAGCCGCCGGGCGAGCGGAGGCCTCCGGACCTGCGCATCTCCCCCGAGACCTCGCCCTGCTCCCCGCGCCGCCACGACATGAGCCACGGGCAGGGGACCGACATGCTCCCGGAGATCGCTGCCGCCGTGGGCTTCCTCTCCAGCCTCCTGAGGACCCGGGGCTGCGTGAGCGAGCAGAGACTTAAGGTTTTCAGCGGGGCGCTCCAGGAGGCACTAACAGGTGAGCACACGCCAAGGGGCCTGGCGCCACCGGGTCTCGGCCCCGTCCCTGCCTGGGGCGTCTTTCCTCTCCTCCTGGGCAGGATCCCCAACGCGAGCAGCTCTGGGACTCGGTTGCCCTCCTCCGGCCCCCGGGGCGGCCCGCAGTCCCCTGTGCTCGGGTCTCGGTCCGTAGTGGCTGTGATTGCGCGCGCCCCTCCCCACTCTGGGGGCGCAGGCCCTTGACGGGGGGTGCGATCCCGAGTCCCCAGCTTGTGCCCCGGCAGAGGGGGCACCCGCGAGTCCGATCGAGGATTCATCTCCTTCGCTGGATCCTTGAGATCCTCGAGGGATGTTGCGGGCGACAAAACCCGGCCGGCGAGGGGTCTTTGTGGGAGAGGAAGGCGCAGTTGAGCCTTCTCAACAACTCGGAGTCCCAGCCGTGGTTCTCCCTGCCGTGCGGGGCTGCGTTGTGCCTGGGGCGGTCTGCCGGTCGCTAACTCGCTGGAGTTGGAGTCTGGGCCCTTTTTGTATTCTCTTTGGTCCTCCTTAGCCATCTGCCACCTGTTGTGATAGGGAAGAGAGCCTTGTAGCTGGAGCCGCGCCGCGCTCTGCAGGCGGAGAGAGGGAAGTTGACAAGAGATGGGCGGCTGGCTGGCTGGGGAGAGACCTATCTCCCAGCTGTTTCTAGCCCTTTGGGGTAGTCTTAGGTAGCGATAGCCATCTCTGAACGTGCCCACACAGATCCTGCCTTCCGAGGAAAACAGCTGCTTTATCAAAACAACCCATGTTTGATTCCCTTAATCACGGCTAAGGATCTCTTACTGTTCTGAAGGAGGCATAGAGGGCCACTGGTACAGGGTGAGAGGCCCAGTGACTTGCTATGGACCCAACAATGTTGGCAGCCTTCTGGCCTTGAAACTTCAGCTCTCCAGAGGCCTTGTCTGGACATGCCAGCCCCGGTCACGCCCTTCCCTCCTTAAACTGAGGATGTGCCAAAAGCAACACAATGGCCACTAGTGTGTGTCCCAGAGCTCTGGGACCCCCTCCTAGTACACACACATACCCCTGTCCTGAAAAGAGGGGAGGGATCTCTCCAGCTCCCCATATGCTAAGTGGCAGGAGGGATTCAGAAGGGTCCTGGAACTTGGGAGAAACTGCCTCACTTGCTTAAAGTGACTGGGTCCCTTCCTCTCCTCCTGTCCCTTCACCCTCATCCCTGCCTTGTGGCAGCTGCTCTAACCAGGCCATCTACTTTTATCCCCTCTCCACAGAGCACTACAAGCACCACTGGTTTCCCGAAAAGCCGGCCAAGGGCTCGGGCTACCGCTGCATCCGCATCAACCACAAGATGGACCCCATCATCAGCAAGGTGGCCAGCCAGATCGGACTCAGCCAGCCTCAGTTGCACCGGCTGCTGCCCAGCGAGCTGACCCTGTGGGTGGACCCCTATGAAGTGTCCTACCGCATCGGGGAGGATGGCTCCATCTGCGTCTTGTACGAGGAAGCCCCAGTGGCCACATCCTGCGGGCTCCTCACCTGCAAGAACCAAATGATGCTGGGCAGGAGCAGCCCCTCAAAGAACTATGTGATGGCGGTCTCCAGTTAAATGCCCTGAGCCCCCACTCTGGCACTCTACTGTACCCATTCTGCCGTGACAATAGGCCACCGCATACCTCAACCTGGGGAACTGTATTTTTAAATGAAGAGCTATTTATATATATATTATTTTTTTTAAGAAAAGAGAAGGAAAAAACCAAAAGATTTTTTAAAAGAAAAATCCTTAAAGGGAGCTGCTTGGAAGTGGCCTCCCCAGGTGCCTTTGGAGAGAACTGTTGTGGGCTTGAGTCTGTGAGCCAGTATCTGCCTATGGGAGGGGAGAGGGGTTGGAGGAGAGGCCTAGCCAAGGTGAGGAGGGAGAAGTTTTGGCTAGCACCTGAGGAGGATGGGAAAGGGAGCAAGCAAGGTTAGCAACTGTGAATAGGAGAGGTCAGTATTTGCCCTGGAGAGAGAAGAAAGGCTGGTTCAAACCTCCATCCCAACCGGGACACCTGCATCTCTGGCTTCTCTTACTCAGGGGCATTCAAGCCTAGATTTAAGTAATACTATGTTGCCTAATCTCATATTTTTCCGAGATTCTTGGCAGAGAGTTAAAAGGCCTCTCCTTATTCTTTATGTCCTAAGCAGCTTTTTTTGAAATCATGACTTGTTTCTAATTCTACCATTAGGGGCCTGTAGACATTGCTTCCCAGCCAGGAATCTAAACTTTTTTTTTTTTTTTTTTTCCTGTGAGAGGGGGCGGGGAGGGGGTTGTAAGGCAGGGGTTGGAGATTATTGGGGTTAGGATGGAATGGAGTTCTGCACAAAACCTTTGCTTTGCTATGTGCTGCTTTGTGTGTATGTGTGGCAAATAATTTGGGGGTGATTTGCAATGGAATTTTGGGACCCAAAGAGTATCCAGTAGGGATGTTTTTTGGCCAAAACTTCTTTGTGGAACCACATGAAAGTCCTGATGCTGCTGTTATTATTCCTTTGAGAGGTGGCTCAAAAGCTACAGGGAACTCCAGGTCCTTTATTACTGCCTTCATTTCAAAAGCACAACACTCCTCTGTAACCCTCCCCTCTCCTGTCCCCTTCTGGTTGGGTCATGGAGCTACCCTATGCTCTAGACAAGAGTTCTCAGTCACTGTGCAATATGCTCCCAGGTTCCAGGAGGGTCTGGAGAACTGGCTCTCAGAAACTTCTGGTGCCCTAGTGGGCTTGGGGAACTGTCTCTCCTGCTCTCCTTGGGATTATGGCTGGCTATTTGGCTTTGCAGATAATTCCTTGGCTGGATGGGAGAGTGCCCCATGTTCTGCAGGACTACTTGGTATTCTTGTAGGGCTGACACTAAAAGCCAAACCTTGAGCACTGTTTCTTCTCCCTGGTGCTCAGAGCACCTATGGGGGAGAAGTTGCTGTCTCTCTCAGTACAATCCAAATTTGTCTGTAGACTTGTGCAATATTTACTGTTCTGGGTTGGAGAAAAATGGAAAACTACACTGGGAAGAAACCCCTTCCCTTCAGTTTCTCAGTGATGTCGGTGAGGGGTTCCTCAGAAAGTTTCAAATTTCCCAAACTGAATCACCTTAAGAAGGATGGAGCTAGAGCATCTGGTCAACCTGGCTACCCTCTTGCTGTTGCCCCTAAGTGAGGAGTCATCCTCTCCTACTTCCTCTACCCCCAAGTTCCCTTCCCCACAGCCAGTCCCCTTTCCTGGATTTCTATACTCAATTTTGACTCAAAGGTGCTATTTACCAAACACTCTCTCTACCCGTTCCTGCCAGTTCTGTCTCCTTTTCAACTCCAGATTTCGTGCTGCATTCCCAGACCCTGTTTCCCGACTTTTTTGCTTTAAAGTTAACTTTGGGCCTACAGACCCAAGAGCTAATTTTCTGGCCTGTGGGTTGAAACACAGCTGTGAATCACTGCAGATGTCTTTTTGCCTCTCATCTGCGAATAGGTCCCTGCCTTTCTAGAAGCAGCCTCGTGGTTTCATGCTCGATCTTTTCTGTCTTCTCTTCTTTTCGATGATCACTTTAAAAACAACACCACCCCCGGAGCTGGACTGTTGAGCAGGCCTGTCTCTGTTTGTAGGCTATTCTGACAGAAAAGACAAAGGTTACTAATTGTATAATAGTGTTTTTATATGGAAGAATGTACAGTTTTATGGACAAATGTACCCTTTTTTTTGGTTACTTTAATAAAAATGCAGCAGATGAAGTCGTGTGGTGTAGAGAAGGTAAAATTCCTGCATTGCTAATTTGCATTTCCCTCTGAGATCCAAATCCTTTTTTGTGTGTCTCATAGTGTTTCTCTTCAGTTGCACTCATACAACCTATAGCATGTGGCTGGTACAAAAGGAAAGTCCAGCTGTGGCTGGCTGGTTAGCTTAGTTGGTTAGGGTGCAGGCTTGTAACACCAAAGTCAAGGATTTGGATCCCCATAATGGCCAGCCAAAAAAAAAAAAAAAACTAGTGTGGCTAGGCCATTTCTAAGCATTCCCTCTTCCCTGGAAGGGATTCCTTATTTCCCTCCTTGAATGAATGTTCTCAAAGTGTCCTGGAAAATGCTAGATAAAACAGGATTCTTCTAGTCTGAACATTCCTTAGTCTCTGTTTCACCCATACTGTTATTGGAAGTCCTCAGTTTCAGTCATGAATTCACTCATTCATTCATTCAGGAAACATTGGCACTAAGTGCCAGGCACTGAAAATATTAAAAATGATTAAGACACAGCCTGTCTCTCAGACCAGGGGTGGTGGGGGGGGGGGGGGGGTAATGAACCCCTTCCCAGGCTGGAGAGGATTGTTTGCAATTCCTAGAAAAAGGCTCTCTTGTCATCTCTGAGGCTGCCATTTGCTACCTACCATTCTTGTCTTATTAAACAAAAGCACTTGGTCCTCAGGATCTGTGCACTGGAGCCAAATGTATGGCTGAATGCCAATGCTACAAGTTAGCTAAAGAGCAGCTACTTCTAACAGCAAACACTGGTGTGAAAGCTAAAGGTTCGTTATGCAGTTTATAACTCCCTTTGGCTATAGGATAGGATCTATGTAAGGAAATAATTATCATCCCTGATTTTGGGGTTCTTTCTATGAGGTTTTGACACAGGCTCAATAGTTCCCACTGAGGTCACAAGTACATTTTGACCTGGACTAGTTTCTTTCTTGAACGTGGGTGGGCTGTATTTAAATTAAAATTTAAGTATCTTGACTCATAAACAGTGGCACCCCCCGTCCTCACTTCATTTTATACCCCCATGACCTTCATCAACAAACATTCAGTTTGTCCCAGGTGTGCTAGGGCAGAGGTAGACCAGGCAGGCTGTGTGTGGTATGCTTGTATTGTGCAGGGAGGTTAGGGGATGTGAATGGGGGAGGCCAGGTCATCTGTATGAAAGACAAAATTGGGTTATTGGGACCTACTATATCAAGAGGTTATTTAAAGGAATGGTCCCAGGGCTGGCCCGTGGCTCACTTGGGAGAGTGTGGTGCTGATAATACCAAGGCCACGGGTTCGGATCTCTGTATAAGGATGGCCGAACTTACTTGGGAGAGCGTGGTGCTGACAACCCTTGAGTGCGGTGCTGATAACACCAAGGCCCCGGGTTCGGATCCCATATAGGGATGGCCGGTTGGCTCGGTGGGTGAGTGTGGTGCTGACAACACCAAGTCAAGGGTTAAGATCCCCTTACCGGTCATCTTTTAAAAAAAAAAAAATAATAATAATAATAAAAAATAAAAATAAAAGGACCCGCTTTTTTGTGTGTAAGGACATGGTTAGGGTGGAGGGATTTTTGGCCATCCTGGTGTGCTATATTCTCTTTGGGGTACTTAGTACATAGATCTACTTGTTTTCTAAAAGGCCCCACTCATGAAGGATATTTTGTTGTTTAGTGGAAAGCCTGAAATTCAGAGAAGGTGGAGGGGACACTTCACCTACTTTTGTGTCTTCAAGCTGGGAAACCTCAGAATGGCAGATTCATTTTTGAGGGGGTTGCTCTTGGCTCTTGCTAGACTAATAGTCCCTTAATCTACATAAGAAGGTTCTGTGATCAAGCGATGTGTTATTTATTTTAGATTATTTTATTTTAGTAGGGGTGGAAAGTACCCCTTAGCCACCTGGGGGTACAAGGGCTCTGGCCTGGAACTGCCCGAGGAGTAGCAGTTGGTGGCTTTCCTATGCTCGGGGACAAAGCTTTGGCTGGTCGGTTCTGCTTCCAGCTTCCTTACTTGGTAAACAGTGCCAGCCTGGGAGACCTGTGCTCAGTCAGCTGTTTTTGGACGATAAGGTAGACAAGGCCCTGGGAGCTGCAGATCAAGAGCCCATGCTGGCTCCTGATAAGGAGTTTTAGGTGGGGGAGTCTTTGATAATGCAACAAACAAGCCCCAGGAAGAAGAAACTCACTTCTGTGTGTCTGACATCTGCTCCTATAGCAGCCTTTGGTAAAGAAAGATAGTGAGGACCCGAGTGTCTAGGCGTCCAGGCCAGATCTGCATCCCTGGCCTGACTGAGAATGGTCCAACAGGAAGAGCTCTGTGCTGGGAGGGTTTTGTGTTTCTGCTGCTTCTTCCTGACTAGCTGCTCCTCAGCTTTTCCTGTCTTAGAAATTAGGGGGTTGGATCAAATGACCTCTGTTCTTTTCTTCAGCTTTTGATTCTAAATAATCCCCATTATCCTGACAATCACTGGAGGGCAAATTAGCACCATTATCATCATTATTTTCAATCAGTTGAACTGAGAGGTAATTTGGGATGGGAAGTAGAGTAAGTAATAATCTCTTGCTTGGGTCAGACTTCTGCTGATAAGGTTTCAGTTTCCAAGCATAGCGCAGCAGAAGCGCAGAGAGGTTAGGAACTGAGGCTCGGGTGTCAGGCTGCCTGGGGAGGCCTAATCTCAGCTCCACTGCCTACCTACCGCTGTGCAACCTGGGGCGAGTTTCTTACCCACCAGGCGGTGTCAGGCTGCCTGGGGAGGCCTAATCTCAGCTCCACTGCCTACCTACCGCTGTGCAACCTGGGGCTTGGTTTCCCCACTTGTAAAATGAGAGTAAGGATAGAACCCATTTCAAAATGTTCTTGTGAGGATTAAATGAGATCCATAAAGTACTTAGAATAGCCCTGACACATTTAAGTACATACTCAATAAACAAGAATTATTGTTCCAAGCAGAAGTTAACCTCATCTCTTCAAGGGCCCTGAATTGGTCCTGCCGTGCCTTAGAATAGCCCTGACACATTTAAGTACATACTCAATAAACAAGAATTATTGTTCCAAGCAAAAGTTAACCTCATCTCTTCAAGGGCCCTGAATTGGTCCTGCCGTGAAGGAGGACACTCTGGCATACCGATAACTGGAAGGAAACCATTATTAAAGTAATAGTGCTTGCTAGTACCTCCTGGGAGGCAGCACCTTTAGAATGGCTGCAGTTAACACCTGATCCAAGCGGCCTGAGGCCTTTTCCCTAGAAAGATGATTCTCAGTCCTTTGTTTAAAAATCTTCACAGCCCAAAAGCCTTTCTTAGGGTTATACGTAGCCCATAGTAGGCACTGTACAAGTACCTGCTGAATGAATGATTGTTGGCTGAACGAACTCATGTCTGACCTCTGTTATTCTCGTGGAAATGTATGGTTTCCTTGCTTGGCATCTGACCTCAGTGGCCACAGGGCAACTTTGACCTGTTGGCCCCACCGATCTGCCTGTGGATTAATGACAAACTGGGCTACGTGCTCATTTACACGCAAAGTGGGAGGGGAAAGGGGCTTTCCAATAGCAACTTTGCTTACCTCCATTCTGCCTATCTATGGAATCACTCCCATGTGCTCTCCCTTCCCACAAGAGAAGAAAATGGGAAAGCTGAGAACAAGCCTGAGCTCACTGGCTTTCTTTCTACACCACTTCTTTGCAGAGCTGGCAAGGAAAACGTTTTAGCTCAGTCTAAGAGGTTACCAGGGCCCTGGATAACAATCTTAGACAAACAAGTGTGCCCTGGATGTGCAGCCAGTCCTTTTCCCTGGTTCTCTTGGCCGCCAGCAGTTCTAAGTTATTTTGTTCCTAGTGGAAGCCTGGCTCTACCACTCCCACCCTATTCCCATAAATAAGAGAGGGCCTTGATTCAGGGCTTGTCCGGTAAACCGGACAGGCTGCTTAGAGCACGTAAGATAAGAGGAGGTAATAGCTGGGTGGGTAGGAGGGACAGCTGCTCTGTTTACCAGCACCACCAGGGAAGGGCCATCTAAAGTATGGTGGGCACCAGGGAAGCGAGGGTGGAACCAGGCAGTAAAGGAATGAGGATGACTGGCAGAGGCTGGGGTAAACCTGGAGAGTTTCTTGTCAAATCTTGTCTGAAAAGGGTCTCTGTTCCTTAGCTCTAGTCCATTGTTGTCATGGGAGACCAGTGATACCAGTTATTGTGATTTTTCAAGAGAAGCCTGAAATGTTAGCTTTTATTTGACATCTCCCTAAACTCTAATAATGGCCACTAATTTTTTAAATGTGTTAAGCACCGCTTTTCATAGGCACGCAATTTGTGACTTATGATGCACCTGAGACCATCTGGGAATGGGGATGTAGGGGTTTCTGACCCCATCCCCCATAACAGAAGTGAGACTCTTCATTGAGAACATTCACGGCAGGCTGTCACAGTGGCCACGATCTTAGGAAGAAGCATTCTGACATGTTCCTGATAGAACTGAGGGCACACAAGGGGCCTCTGCTTCTCCCCAAGGATTAGACTAAAAGCAGCTCTCCCCACCCCAAACTGGTGCCCTGCATGTAGGACTGCAGCCTCTGGACCTTTGCTCAGGAATGCCCCATCTCCCACCTACCCACCTACTCTTGCCTGTTTAATTCTTATTTCAAAATTCAGCCTGTCCCTTCCAAGCAATTTTTCAGTGACATCTCCCCTTGACAGTATGGGATATGTGCCCTTCCCTTGAGTTCCCGTGATGCTCAGATCTGTCCTCTGTCCTAGCCCTCATAACCCTAAATTTACAACTAGAATGTAGGCCAGGACCCTTGCCTGAGCAATGTCTGGTACTTAGAGTTGTTACAGAATACTGGATAGTAGATGGAAGGAATTTAGATCTGGGTGGTGGAAGAAAAAAAAATTAAGTACATTCAGGGTTGGCCAATGAGTCCCAGCTCAAGATAGCTGTGATTGCACCTTCTTAAGGAAGCTTAGATCTTTTCTTTGAATCTTGCAGGCCCTTGCGTCTTTA